TAGATTGCAATTCACTTGAGCTAGAATTCTTCTTGTACTAATCAAGTAAATATGCATTAGGTTTCCTATCTACTTCACTCCTAGGGAAACCATAACTAAGTTGTTGTTGTTGTTAAGTGTCATGGAGTCGGTTCTGTCCCATAGCGACTTTGTTTCCAAGGAGCGGCTGGTGAGTTTGAAGTGCCAACCTCGCAGTTCAAACCGAACTTTGTGATGTGAGTTACAAATATATTTTCCAAGATTGGGATTTATCTTTTGATTTTGCTTTATTATATTTTTTCCATGAAAATTTAAAAAAACACACATTAAGAAAAAACCCAGCTCTGGTAGCGTAGTGGTTACGAATCGGGCTGCGAACCTCAAGGTCAGCAGTTCGAAACTACCAGCTGCTCTGCGGGAGAAAGATGAGGCTTTCTGCTCCCATAAAGATTTACAGCCTTGGAAACCCTGCACAGGGTTGCTATGAGTCGGAACCGACTCCACGGCACATAACAACAACAACATATAGATAATATCCATCTTCCTTTTATGGTTTCTGGATTTAAGTCATAAATAGAACTTTCCCATTTCAAGGTTATGAAACATAGTTCTATGTTTTCTTTGGAAATGTTTACCTTCATCCTTTCTCTCATGCTCCATATCCTATTAATCCTCAACCCTTGCCAATTTTACCCCGCCACCCCCCCCCGCCCCACCCAAATAGGTTTAACATTCCATACAATCTTCTGGTGTGTCTCTATAGGGCTAAACACTGGACTGCTGGCCTCAAGATCGGCTGTTCAAGTCCACCAGCCACTCCTTGGAAACCCTATACAGGGTCCCTATGAGTCGGATCCCACTCGAAGGCACCTAACAACAACAGTCTCTCGTCTCAATGCTCCAGTTCTGCCTCTCGTTATTTCTTTCCTGGGTTGTATTATTTAACTTCGCTTTCCCTGGAGCGTCAGAGGTCTCATTACCTCCCCTCCCTCCTTTCTAGACGTGTTCTCAGCAACATCTTTCTAAAATCTGTTCTTTCCCACCTGTACACTTCCAGAGGCTTCCCATTCATTGCTTTCAGGGTAGTATCTGAGAACTCTACTTTAGCTGGCGTCTCAGGGACAGCAGGTGCAAAGACACAGAGAAACAAACCTGACGACTGAGAGCTTGGAGTAGGGCAGCCGGCCACAGTGGAAGAAGCCACTCTACCGCCCTAGAGCGCATGCGGCACAGGTCTGGTTTCAACCCCTTCTTTGGACCGGGATGAGCGGCCATAGAGACGAGCCGACCTCCGGCATTCCTAGAGGGGAAGAGGAAGGGGCTTTTTATCGTAAACCTGTCTGACAAGAGTCTTCAGCTCACTTCCGTTTCGCAGCACGCAACTTTGATTCCGATATCGCTGGGTGGCTGCGGCTGAAAACTGGGTCAGGCTGCAGTGGGCGGCGGAGGTGGCAAGGGACACAGGGGCCCAGCGAAGGTTTGGGAAAGAGCGCGTCTCCATCTGCCCAATCCCGGCTGCGGGCGGCTCGTCCCTTCCGGGCCTGCCGCCCACCGAGGCCCCGCGTGCCAGCCTCCAGGGGCCGCGCCGCAGTCAGCTCAGGTAGGAGCGTACCCCCTCGGCCAGAACTGCCTCAACAGGAACCCCAGGACATCTAGAAGAGCAGAGGAACTCTTTGGAAAGCGGAAGTAGTTCTTTTAGAGCAAGATATAGGACACTCATTTAAAAGATAATGGTGGAGCCCCTTCTGTTTGTCATGTGCCAGAGAGAAAAGACGAATGGGGATTCTAAGTGCCTCCAGGGGATTTGCTAGATTGTTGTTGTTGTTGTTAAAGTGCCATCGAGTCGGTTCTGACCTATAGCGACCCTGTATAGGGTTTCCGAGGAGCAGCTGGTGAGTTTGAACCACCGACCTTGCAGTTCAAAGGCTTTACAGTCTGGCGCACTAACCCACAGCGCCACACCAAATGTCAGCTCTGCGTGCGATGAAATGCAGTTGTGGTGCCAAGGATAGCTACAAACGCATGAAAGAAATCTCGAATTGATGGAGCAGAGAAAATGATTACACTGAAAATGTAAGATAGATTTATTTTTGCTGTTGTTAAGTGCCGTCGAGTCGGTTCCGACCCATAGCGACCCTGTACAGGGTTTCCGAGGGTGTAAATCCTTACGGGAGTAGAAAGCCTCATCTTTCTCCCGCGGAGCGGCTGGTAGTTTCGAACCGCTGACCTTAAGGTTCGCAGCCCGATTCGTAACCACTAGGCTACCAGAGCTCCTTAAGATAGATTTATAAGGATAGATAAATAAGACACCCAATAGAATATTCAAGAGAAGTTTGGGCTGTGCACCCTGCCATTTGTACGTTGTATTAGGGTGATTGTCATCTTTTCTAACAAGCCCAACCCTCTTCCCACTTCCAAATCTGCTTCCCCAGTATACACCCTCCTCCCCAGTGAAGCTAAATTGTATTGGTCTTCTGACTTTGTACAAGCCTCCTTTCTTTCTCTTGAGTACAGTTTTTCCATGCTTCTTACCTGCAAAGTATTTTGGGAGGTAGACCTTGGCCAGTCACAGAACCTTTTTTTTTTTTAATGTTTTAATTTGAATTATGTGATCGTTTACATGGGAGAACATTGGTTTTACATTCATTCTATCGTATATCATCTCATTGCCATGGTTACAATCCCCTCCATGCAATCCTTCCCGGTGCCCCCCAGGTCTTCAACACACAGTCGCTCTCCCTCTCTGGATCTGAAGCCTCTAGCTGCTCCGTCACTCCACATCAACATCTCTGGCTGCATTTCAGGCATCACTGCTTCTCTGGGTAGGGTCCTGCTCTCTGCTCTTCTCCCTTGGTGGTCCTAGGGACCTCCATTCCTAGACTGAAAAGTTAATCACTCCCCTCCTTGCTATAAAATGTCTACCTTTACATTTCCGACCCTCACAGTCAGTCCTGATAACAATTATTCACTATTGTATCACAAGAGACCCGTCTGCATTTCATTGCATCAGCCCCGGCTAGTCAGATTGAATACTACTCACTGGAGATTCTACCTTCCTCCAGGCCCTCTGGGTCTAGGTTCCCTCTTGAAAGCTTGTAAGCCAGTCACTTCTTGCCTTTGTAGCCCCCCATCCCCCATTTTGGGTAGCCAGTGTCCAAGTTGCCCATTCCCAGTCATAGAACCTCTTAGGCTGTTAGTTTCTTTATCCGAAAAGTAAGGGGAGTGTTATGTGCTGTAGAGTCGATTCCAATTCATAGCGACCCTGTATAGGATTTCCAAGAAGCGAGTAGTGAGTTTGAACCGCCAACCTTGCAGTTCAAGCATACCCCGAGGTCCAGGACTCCATCCATACGTTGTGGTTACGTACTGACAGGTCAATTCCGACTCAGCCACCCTGTACAGTGTTTCCTAGGAACAGCTGGTGGGTTTGAACCGCAGACCTTGTGGTTTGCAATCCAGTACTGATCCTACAGCACCATACCAGAATAGAATTATATTTATTAGAGTACATGTTCCCGCGCTTTTTAGATGGAAAAAATTGGAAAGCCTATAAAGTTTTACGTCTTTGGGTCAATTATAATGATGCTATAATTATGATATGTTATTATATATGCTGCTCCATTATGTTCTTCAGGCCGAGCACATTATCACATCCAAGCCACGGCAAGTGTGTTGGTTTTGTCTCTAAAATATGCCTTGTCTTTTGTCTGCTTCTTTCCACCACTCTAATCTGTTGTTGTTATGTGCTATAGAGTTGGTCCTGACTCACAGCGACCCTGTATAGGGTTTCAAAGGAACACTTAGTGGGTTTGAACCACTGACCTTGTGGTGTGCAGTCTAGTGTCGATCCTCCAGATCTTTACTCTAACCCCCTGTAGTTCCCTGCTTAGATTACTGTGTTACTTCCCTTCTCTCCCACTCTAATCTAGTACCCATTCACACAGAGGATGACCTTTGTGAAACCAGGTTCCCAATGATTTGAGAATAAAGTTCATCAGAGGCCCTGGGTCATCTGATTTCTGCCTGCTTCTCCTTCAGCCTCTCATTTACCCTGCAGAGCCACTTTAGGTTTTGACTTATTCCCCATTGTGCCAAATAATGTCTGACCCCAATGTTTTTGCCTGGAATGCTCTTGACGTGGCTAATTCATTCTCATCCTTCAGATCTCAGCCAACTGTCATCTGTTCAGAAAAGCTGTTTCCAAATCTGTCTTCCTGTTATCAGAGCACCTTATTCATTTTCCTTCTAGAGCTTAACCCATCCACAATTTGATTTATTTGCATGCACTTGTTTTTTAGGACTTATGTGTGGTGTTGTAGGATCAGTACTAGATAGCGAACCACAAGGTCGGCAGTTCAGTCCCACCAACGGCTCCTTGGAAATGTTATACAAGGTCTTTGTGATTTGGAACCAATGTGATAGCACTTAACAACAACATACTAGAACATAAGCATCCAAGGAGGCAAAGATTTTGTCTGTCTTGTTGTGTATTAAACCGGGGAGCTTCAAAAAGTTCGTGGAAAATTGGATTCAGAAGATAATAGAATTTTCCCACAACCTTCTAGTTTCTGAGTTTGGGGCATATATAAGGGGGCTTCAGACAGTTGGAGGAAAAAGTCCATTATCTTTTCATTCCATTTTTCCATGAACTTTGGAAGCCTCCTTATTTATTTATAGTTCCTTTAACTTTGGAGCAGTGAGCCTTGGTGACTTAATTAGGCATCTTGTAGTATTCAGTTATCATTGCATTGTCTCTCCAATAAGACCTAAACTATTTTGTGAATATAAGCTAAATCCTATACATTTATTTAGCCTTACCAAATAGGTGCTCAGTGACTTGAATTACTCTTGACTTTCCAGATAAGTGTCCATTTTTAACAGTGAGCATTGCCACAGTCTCCAGCAGCATATTGGGGTGCCCGACCTTTCCCCGTGCTTCATGTTCTCAGAAGGATCATTTGTACTGTTGTCATTGTCTGGTTTTCCCAGCAGACCCTCATCTTCTGGGAGGAAGTGTGAAGATGCTTAAAGAGCGTCCAGGGATGGCGGAAGAGCCTCAGCAGCAAATGAGTGTCCCTGTGGTGAAGCTGGAGAAAGAGCTGCCATGGGGAAAGGGAAGGGAGGACTCTAGTCCTGAGACATTCCGTCTGAAGTTTCGGCAGTTCCGCTACCAGGAGGCAGCTGGACCCCAGGAAGCCCTCAGGGAGCTCCAGGAACTCTGTCGTCGGTGGCTGAGGCCAGAGCTGCACACCAAGGAGCAGATCCTGGAGCTGCTGGTGCTGGAGCAGTTCCTCACCATCCTGCCCCGGGAGCTCCAGGCCTGGAGTCAGGAGCACTGCCCGGAGAGTAGCAAGGCCTTGGTTGCCATGATGGAAGACATGACAGAGAGAGCACTGGAGGCCAAGGCGGTGGGTGAGAAGGGGCTTCAGGTCTTTGTCTGGCTGGTGTGGGGAGGGGGATTTTAAAGATATGAAAGGTTTGAAGAAGCCATGGGAGTGGGTGAGGCATAGCATCTCTCTCCTTTGCTCTAAGGCTCTCTCCAAAAACCCTTTTGGAGGGCACTGGAGTTTTCAACCGAAAGGCTATTCCCGGGGAATACATAGAGGGAATGGAAGGATGCTTAGCTTCTTTTTTGGTGTCAGGATAGCGATTCAGGCATGTTTCCGTTGTGAGCCACAGGCCTTAGGAAAGCAGTTGTGGTTGCTTTCAAGGCCCCTTAAAGACTCTTTGTGCAGACCATAGGGAAGTCCCTTTGGTGAATATTTGAATGTTCATAATGTTTCCATGTCTGAGAAGGCGGTTCATATGTCTTATTTGACTCACACATTTGGTGGTGTCGCTCTGATTCTACCAAGTTACTTTGCACCACAGACGCTTCCATGGGACTGGCCATATTTCTCTCACTGTCCTGTCCTGGGAAAGAAGAGAAACGACTAGCCGTTACTGTTTGGCTTGCAAATTACAATCATTTTTAATTTGTCATCACTTTATCCCTTGTACCCTGACTTCCTAAATCAACCTCAGGGAATTAAAAAATTCCCAAGCAAGGAGCTTAAAAGTAGACCGGAAAGACCCTCGCTTTTGTGAATGTATCTGTGGGAAAGTTTTCCTGATTTTCCTTCCTCTTTTTAGAACAGCTTTTCTTTACTAGCTGATTGACCACAGAAAGTCTGGCTTCTTATCTTTTACTTTCAGTCTATAATTGGGATCTCTCCCGCCCCCCGAGTAATGTGTGTGGACTCCTGGTGTGGAGCAACTGGACTACAAACCACAAGGTCAGTGGTTCAAACCCACCAGCTGCTCCTCAGAAATACTGTACAGGGTTGCTGTGAGTTGGAATCGACTTGACAGCACCTAACAACCAAAAGTAGTGTGTGCATTGGAGTGTGGTTGCTCCATATGATAAGCATTGGACTGCGAACCACAAAGTCTACAGTTTAAGCCCTCCAGCTGCTCCACGGGAGAAAGATGAGGCTTTCTGCTTCTGCAAAGATTGCTCCTCCTAGAAACCTTGGAAGCCTATATAGGGTCGCTATGAGTTGGAACCGAGTCAATGGCACTTAATGACAGCAACAAGTGTATTCATTGTGTAAAAGTTCTCTTCAACAAAATGGTATTTGGGCTGTCTGTGATACTATTCATGGTGAAATTTAATCAGTATGAAGGAAGGTGGAAGGGACCTTTGTAAAATGGTATGGGCAGATGCAAGTTGTTCTTAGCCTAATAGAGTTTATCTCCTGTTTCTTGGACAATTCCTCACTCATGCCCCAGGGAGGAGCCAAGCCAACTTTTCTATCCTCTCCCCTGCAGCTGGAATGGCTTTTTTGGCCCTATCTTGAACTTATAATTCAACTCCCTACATCACAGACTTACCCAGGCCTCATTCTAATAGGTATTGGAAACTGTTCTTAGGTTCCATGCCATGTGCAGGGAGAGCAGGACGAGACAGCACTTTGCCGAGACTCTTGGGAGCGAGGTGTCCACCTCGGGCCAGTGGAGGTCAAGCCTGAGTGGGGACTGCCCCACAGGGAAGGAGCGCAAGGCCTAGATCAAAGTACTGAGGAACAACTCACTCAGGACCCTGGAGATGGGACACAGGCCTTCCAGGAGCAGGGTAAGTTGCACCAGGGAAGGAAGTGGGGACACAGAACAAGGAGCCTGGACCCCTTCCCGCTTCACTCGAGAAACCCAGAAGTTGATAAGTTATTAATTTGTGAGGTATAATTCACAGTTTTCCTAGCTACTTTCTCAACCTCAGGAAGCAGCTGAAATGAAATTGTTTTCTGTGTTTGACTGATTCCTACAGGAGGTATCTGAGATTATGCTCTTTTCCTTTCCCTCGCAGTCCTTTTAGAAACCAGCAGGAAATATTGCAGCTGCTCCTTGGAAACCCCATGCGGGGTGGTTGTGGGTCAGAATTGGCTCGACAGCACTTAACAACAGCAATAACAAATATACAGGGATATAGATACATATTGTGCAGTAGGCAGGTAAACCATATCCCTAAGAGTAATGTGTGACTAAATCTCGAAGGGTTATTCCAGAATATGATTAGGGAGCTCAAATAGACTTGAAGGGACAGCACTTACTAGATGGGAACCATCTTTGCATCTGAGAATCGGGTGAGGGATACTTCTTATGGGAAAGTGTGGAGCCAAAGCAATTTCTGTCTGACATCTCCGTGTAGTTCCTGAGGTTCTGTGCGCAAAGCAGGGGACACCATTGAACGAGTTGACTGAAAACAGCACTAATGTTTCTTTTCTGCTCAGCTCTGCCTCTTCTTCAGGCTGGTCCCGGTCTCCCCTCAGTGAACGCCAGAGACCAAGGGATGGCAGCTGGGTTTCTTACAACAGGACCCCAGGTAATCTGTGATTCTGCTCTTCCAAAGACCATACTGTTGCTCTGAACAAGTTCCACCTTTCCTCTGTTTCTCTGCGCAGCAAAAGTCCGTACTCCTAATTGAGTTTTTCTACCTTCCAAGTTTTGATAGACATGAAGCTTCGTTTCCTCCACTTTACCGTCTCCAGTCATTAGTTTGTGTTGAGAAGTTTGGACCTGAAGCCACAGTTTAACTCATTGATGTTCCTCTGACAATAGTAAAGAGGAAGATATTATTGATACAAATACTACAGGCATGATGTAGGTCATGGGGGTTGTTCAAGAGATAAGTAATAACCCTTTGTGGATGCCCTTTATAGATGCTGCTGCTGCTGCTCTCCCTTTGGACACCTCTCTTACCCCACCCCCCCAGTGTCAGCAGGAATGCTGAGTAGAGTAGACCTGGCCTGTATTCTCTCCATACCAGGAGGTGTGGCTCTGTTGATTGTTATTAACCTGCCACAGATGGAAACAACTAAGGCATGGATGGGGCACTCTTGCCACAGTTTAAACCTCTCCCATGAGATGCTGAACCTGTTACCAGGGAGATGGAGATTATCTTTAGTATAACCTGAGAGTTAGTGCCCATTGATTACCAATCAGTCACCTCTCTGAAGAGTTCCTTGAAGGAGAAAAGGTACTGTTTGGCAGAAAAAAACAACAAAAAACAATGAGCCCAGTGAGATCTTGTTAAGGCAGCATTGTAGCCAGGTTTGATTCCACCGTCAGTTTCTGTTCCTGTTTTCCAAGTACATGGTGGGAGGAGATGGAGAATTACACCAGGCATGTTTTTAAATTTGGTCAAGTCTTCCTTTCTATCTCCCATAATAGCTCTTATTTATGATGCTCTGAATGCTCATGCATTTGATTTTTTAACCTGTATTCATTTTTTCCCTCTCCTGTCTCCCACAACCCTGTAATCATCATCACAGAATGATTCATATAGCAAGAAAGTATTTTCTTCACTGTTTACAACAGTGGTCTCTTGAAGTATTTGTCCTTCTGTGATTGACTAATTTCACTCAGCATATGTCCTCCAGATTCATCTGTGTTGTGAGGGGTTTTGCAGATTCTTTGTTATTCAACATTGCATAAGTATTCCATTGTGTGAACGTAGCAAAGTTTGTTGTGCTGTTCTGTTGATGGGCACTACATTTTCTTCGTCTGTTTGCTATTGTGAATAGTGCTGGAGTGAACATGGATGTGCATAGATCTATTCGTGTCACAGCTCTTATTTCTTAATGCTATATGGAGCTCTGGTAGCGTAGTGGTTACGACTCGGGCTGTGAACCGCAAGGTCAGCAGTTCGAAACTACCAGCTGCTCCGCGGGAGAAAGATGAGGCTTTCTACTCCCGTAAAGATTTACACCCTCGGGAACCCTGCACAGGGTCGCTATGAGTCGGTTCCGACTCCACGGCACATAACAACAACAACATATACCAAATAGAGGGATTGCTGGATCATATGGTATTTTTATTTCCAAGTTTTTGACAAAGTGTCTTAATGTTTTATACAGTGGTTGCAACATTTTATAGTCCCACCAATCCCATCTCTCCACCCTCTTGCAGATTTTGTTTTTTGGAATTTTGCTATTTTTGCTGGAGTAAGATGATAGCTCAGTGTTTCGATTTGCATCTCTCTAAATGGTTAAGGAGGTCTGTTAGCGTAGTGGTTACGTGTTGCAGATCTTGTCGACTATACAGGCCGCAGGCTCTGAGGAAAAAATTCTGGCCACTGGCAGTCATGGCAAATTGTTTTTCATCTTAGTGTTTAGTTATGTTTTTTATTTAATTCCAAACATGAGCCCTTAATGTCCACAGATAAATGTAGTATTTTCCTAAAGCCGAAGACTGTAAAGTTTTCAAAGGTCAAGCCTTTCTCCAAAGGATTAACTGAAAATAGCTTAGCTACTTCCCAGTTCTTTGTTCTGTAGACAAAAAAACCATCCTCCCTAATCCTTTTCCAGGTGCAGCCCATTCACCTGGACATTTCACATCTTCCTGCAAACCTGGCTCAGGAAGCCAAAAGAGTGGGACTCCGCCCAAGCCTTTTGTTCTTCCCTTTCACCTTCTCTCAACTGAGCTCAGGAGCTATAGATATGTTAATTGAGCCTGAGAAACCCAAGTTGTGGGCCTGGGATTTGAACCAGCGACATACGATGTAAAGTTACTTGAATGTCTGGAAAATTACTGATGTTAGCTGTATACTGTTTTAGTCCCTCCCAGCTTGGTGTGAAGCTCCTCCCCTAAATAAAACGGAGACGCAGGCCGGCCCAGGTGTGCATTACGGCTTGGAGGGCATGCAGTAAAGTTTGCAGGGCAGTGAGTTGCTGCCTGCAGAGGCCATGATGCCTGTAGTCCCAAGTCTGCCCACCAGTGATGCATCCACCCTGGTTTCAGGGTGCCTCTTTGTCTCCCTCTGTTTGTCTATCTGTGTATTCTTTTGCTATCCCTGTCGCCGCCGGATAGCTCCTCCTTGTGAACCAAACACTCGTGAACAACACAACTATGTCAAGGACAGTCCCCGACAGTTACGAATCGGGCTGCTAACCTCAAGGTCGGCAGTTTGAAACTACCAGCTGTTCTGCGGGAGAAAGATGAGGTTTTCTGCTCCCATAAAGATTTGTAGCCTTGGAAACCCTGTGCAGGGTCACTATGAGTCGGAACCGACTCCACAGTACTCAACAACAACAACAATGGTTAATGATCATGAGCAGTTCTTCATATATTTGTTGGTTGCCTGAATGTCTTTGGTGAAGTGTCTGTTCATGTCCTCTGCCCATTTCTTAATTGGATTATTTGTCTTGTTGAGGTGTTGAAATGTCCTATGCATTTTGGAGAGTAGTCCTTGTCTGATATGTCATTGCCAAACATTTTTTCCCAGTCAATGGGATCTCTTTTTTGCTCTTTTAGTGAAATCCTTTGATGCGCTTGAGTATCTGAATTTTTAGGAGGCCCCAGTCATCTATTTTGTCTTCTGTTTGTGTGCTTTCAGTTATGTTTGATAGTGTATTAAGCCATGTATCAGAACTTCGGACTCCTGGTGTGGCACTGTGGATCAGTACTGGACTGCGAACTACAAGGTTGACAGTTCAAACCCACCAGCTGCTTCTCAGAAACTCTATACAGGGTTGCAGTGAGTCGGAACCAACCTGATGGCACTTAACAACAACAATAATCAGAACTCCTTAGTTTATCCCAAATTAATGGTCTGAATAGTTCTAGGTTCTACATTTAGTTTTTCTTCCACAGAACATCTGGTGGACTCGAACTGTTGATCAAGTGGTTAGCAGCCCAACACGTATCCCTTGTGCTCCCAGGGCTCCTTTACTATTACTGTAGCGTTGTCTGTTTCTTTCCTCAGTCACATTGCAATTTGATTTATATATTTTGAGGCTCTTTCATTGGGGGCAAAGATAGTTATTATGGTTTTGTCTTTTTCTGTTGGCCCATTAATCGTGACATAAATTGTCATGATTGTTTCTCTTATGCTGGTTTTTGCTTTAAAGTCTGTTTTGTAAAAGATTAAAATTGCCACTTCTGCTCATTTTTTATTGTCATTAGCTCGTTATATTTTTCCATCCTTCCATTTTTAGTCTATTTCTGTCTTTTTTTTTATAAGATGTGCCTCTTAATAAAACACCAAATTGAAGAATCCTGTTTTCTTACCCATTCTGTTCCTCTCTGTCTCTTGACTGGTGAATTTAATCAATTTGCATTCAGTATAATTATTGATAAGTATGAATTGATTTTTTAAATTTTTCTGGTTTTTTTTTTTTTAATGTTTTATTATGAATTAAATGATAATTTACATGGGAGAACTTTAGTTTTACATTCTTTCCATCGTATATCATCTCACTGCCAAGGTTCCA